CTCCCACATCAGAAAGATGGCATGTTCACTGTCCCAAGGAGCTTAGAAAATAAACTGGATGCAATCTAACAAGGGTGTAATAAGGCAATAGGCAGGGGTAGATAAAAAAATGAGGTGATATAATAAAAATTAGTAAAAGAGAAAATTGCACACATGATGATAGTGCATCCTGAAAGCTAACAAACCAAATAAAATTATTAAAAAGATCATTCATTAGAAGTAAAATCAATATCAATTTTTTTCTTTCTACAAATGGCAGCCTCCTGAGGGTATTTTGAAATTGCAATGAAGACTGTGACAAATAATTATTTGCTACACTTATAAAATTCAGCTGATGAAAATCCATTAACCTTATGGTCATGGTTCACTTGAGTTTTATACTTGAGGCTTTTTACTGGAGAAATGCTATATTAAAAGGCAAATTAAAGCTATTAATCTTTAACTCTTGCACTACCTGCAAATTTCAGTATTTCTCTGATCTCTTGATTAAATAAAGAATAGACTTTGAAGGCTTTACCAATATCTATGCCATTCTAATAAGTCACCTGCTTGTCAAGAAAAAAAGCTGTTGATATATATATGAAAAAGGTCACCCTGTCAAAATTTCAGTTTCATGACATGCCCCTCAGGATTTTACAAACTAAAGGATGCATTTACTCTCAAGCCCGCCAACCGGTATAGGGGAAGACATGAATCAATTTTACTGTTCTGTTTTCCCCAATGAAAGTTATCTAGAATTCTACTAAGTAAAAAGCCCAAGCAGCTCTGCCATCTAATGCTTCTCACAACACAAGAGCCAGACACACAAACAATCCCCCAAGTGCACAATTTAAGCAGTGTTCTAAAAGCTTCATTTTTGACTTGTGCTTCCTTGAAGTCTCAAAATTTTGTGCAAATACTTTAACCTCTCAGATTTCTGAAAGGCTGTGCTTCATAAAAAAGCAAAACCTGTCACCGTGACAGCATTGGCTTACAGCAGTAAGAGTCTGTTAGGTACTTCCACATTTCAAAACAGACTCAGGAAAGGAAAATAAATTGGTTCCTTTGGGTGAAATAGTGTACAGTCTTTGTTTAAGATAAAATAACTCTACTTCTCTGAGCAGGCTGTCCACTTAGATTGAAATTATTCATTAAGACATCTAAACATCATATGGCAGATATGCTGCGATATGCTGTTACCCTGAGCACCGTGGAGCAATACAGTACTTAAAACAAAAACAGGTGGAAAGGGCTGATTAGAACCTGGGTCTCCCCAGAGTGTTTGAAATCCTCTTGCAAGTTTTCCAGAACTGCAAGAAATGAAGCGGCAACGTTGCTCTGAGTATAACAATGGTAAACGGCTACTTTTGTCAATGACATCCGAAAAGCAAAAATGACAATGACATACAAAAACCGAAATTGGAATTTTACTGTTATGCTTTCAGCCCTATTCCTTCATCTTCCTCCAATAACAAATAATCAAATTGTCAGCCAGCACAGCCAGTGGGCAGGTACTATTCATTTTAAATGCTCCTACTTTAATCACACAGTTGCCACTTGCCTTCTACTATGATAAAGTGCAGAAGCTCTGGGAAAAAGGTTGTGGATTGTTTAAGCCTAAAACCCAACTGGGACTGCTGGGAAAGGAAAAAAACCCCACAAAAACACAGAGAACATGTTTTCTACTACCCTACGGAGAGCAGAACTTCGCTGCCTCAAGCAACATTCCCCAAGCTGTGGGCACTGACTGAAACACTACAGAAATTGTTTTAGCCAACAAGGGATTTCTAGATATTTTACAGATTTACTAGCCTAGCTGACAACATAATCACAACTGAAAGTGACATATTATCAGCACTATTATTGTAAGAAGAAATGAAAGAGAAAACACTCTGATGTGTACTTGTTTTAAATGAAGTGTTGGGGCAGGGGCGGGGACAAGGGTAGGGCCTGGCTGAGAATCAGAAAAGCATCTTAAGAAAGACAGCAAACTTTGCTAATCACTCTCATTATATATGAGAATGTGCATGTTCCTGTCCCAGGCCCTTTTTTTTTGCAAACTTGACATAGATACTTGTTTCAGTTTCATAGATTCATAGATTCATAGATTCAGGGTCGGAAGGGACCTAGTAGATCTTCTAGCCCGACCCCCCGCCAGGGCGGGAGAACAACAAAAACCCCAAAAAGAGAAATGGGACTCAAACGAGTCCAGCCAGGTAGGCATCCAGCCTCTTCTTAAAGACCCCCAGGGTAGGGGCCAGCACCACTTCCCTTGGAAGTTGGTTCCAGCTCCTAGCCGCCCTAACTGTGAAGTAGTTTTTGCGGATGTCCAATCTATACCTCCTCTCCATCAACTTGTGCCCATTACTCCTTGTTATGCCAGCGGGCGCTAGGGGAAACAGCGTCTCCCCCAAACCCTTCTGGTCCCCCCTAGTGAGTTTATAGACGGTCACCAGGTCCCCCCTCAGCCTTCTCTTGTGGAGGCTGAATAGGTTCAGGTCCCGCAGTCTCTCACTGTAGGGTCTGCCCTGTTGTCCCCGGATCATGCGGGTGGCCCTCCTCTGGACCCTCTCCATGTTGTCCACATCCCTCTTGAAATGGGGCGCACAGAACTGGACACAATACTCCAGCTGTGGCCTGACCAGCGTCGCATAGAGGGGGAGGATCACCTCCTTGGCTCTACTCGAGATGCACCTGTGGATGCACAACAAGGTCCGGTTAGCCCTGCCAACCATGACCTCGCATTGTCGGCCCATGTTCATCTTGGAGTCAATAATGACTCCAAGATCCCTTTCTGCCTCCGTGCTCTCGAGTAAGGAGTTCCCCATTGTATAAGTGTGCTGTTGGTTCCTACTGCCCAAGTGCAGCACCCTGCACTTGTCCGTGTTAAAACGTGTTTCTTAGGCATTTTTTCCAGTTGTCCAACATTGCCTCAAACAAATCTGCTTTTGTGGCTCCCATAACATTCAAGGATTCTGTGCCCCCTAGCCTCCCAAAGAACAACACTAGTTAATGGAGAACAAACTACCGACTGCAGCTATTATAAACTGCATTCTCCACAATCAAAATAGCTGATGCTCTGAAAAAATTAAAAATTCTCGATCTACAGGATTTTATTTGCACCTGAGTTTAAAAGGGCAAAAGGATGAGGGGAAAGGGCATAAGTGGAGCATGCTGAAATACTGAAAACTCAAGTCATAAGGCAAAAGATATTTTAAAGTAAGTGCGTGTCAAGTTACAAAATGTTAGCTCCTGTAAAGAAAAAGGTTAAAGCTAGTAATATACTTTCAAAGTACAATGAAATATTACTATCCCTTTAGAAGCCTCTTTGGAAACATTTCTCTTTCCTTCATTTGTTCTCTTTTATATTGTAAGTCTCAATAAACTCAGTGATGATGGGATACAAATTTATAAGTGCTCCCACTTTTAAAAATAGAGGTAAAACATTTGCTGCCTATTATACTATATGCCAAATATATCACTATAGCGTACTGCAAGGTGTGATAAAAAAAGAACAAGTTTGGTGAGAAAGCAGAAGTTACAGACCCTCAGTAATAGGAATACTGTACAGCTGAGAACTATATTTTTAAGTGTCCATGTTTATAACAACAATTCAAAATTTTAAAAATGTATCTTTTTATTAAAAGAATGTATTTTTAAAAAATCTCTTCAGGTTTTGAAAATACTACTTTACTTGATATATTTTATTCTCCTCCCTGTCCAACCCCCATTTCATCTCATTTGGGCAACAACCAGAATGGTCAATTTAGTCTCTTATCAGCTTCACTTATTGAATTGTAAACATGCTGCTAGGTGCTGTACAAACAAGAAAGAAGTCACATGCCTTGCTCTTCAAAGAGTGCAAAGTCCAAACATGCAAGAAACAAGGAATACAATGATTGATTAATTGAATACTGCAGGTTAACACCATTTTTGCCTCAATTATTTAAAAACCTGAAATGTTTTGCTGGCTATACAGTAAGGTTCTAAGCTTTTTGGAAGTAATATATTTTTAGAAGGAACATAAGGACTAAGTTCTGGTTCTCAAATGACTCTAATGCTAGAGTGTTTGGATTTTCAAAACTGCAGTTACTTACATTAAAGTAATTTCTTCATTATTTTTATTAAAGCTCTCCCCATTTCTTTTACTATAAATATGCTGCCTAGCAAAAGCAATCATCATCCTTTTGAAGTCCTATGTGCATTTCATTCTTTAACTTTCTACTGAATGTGTGTTCTTTCTCACTTGTTCAAAAAAAAAAAGTGACAACATTCTTAATTGTTGTTACTCAAATTTCTGCTTAGTTCTGGCATAACTGTCAAGTTTTGAAGTTCTGTTCTACTTCATGTGTGATGTTTTGTGCATGTTGTTACTTAAATTATCAAGAGCTACTTTTATTATTAGCAACTGATTTCCACAAAACTATGAACTCAAACTACCTTCTGGCTGTTCTTTCAGGAGTTGATCCAACTCAGGAAATAGGAGAGAAAGAACCTTGCTTGCTCATTCAGCAGGTGTCACAGAAACCTTAGTAGCCATAAGATGAAAATGCCTGCATGTTTTCTGAAGCCAGACTCAGTGCATGACATCTCATACAAGGTAAAAGAATGTGGACAGACTGTCAAATGGGAGACACATGGCAGCCCTTTTTCCAGCTGGAGAGGTTGATCATTTTGACTCTTCAGATATTGACAATCTAATACCCTGATTCGTGTGTGTGTGTGTGTGTGTGTGTGCGCGCGCGCACACATCTGTGCCTGAGTGCATGTAACAGGTAGCATATTTACATTCTTCTGTTCAAGCAAACCCCCAAAATATATTCCTAAACAGGCTGTAACACCCTTTAAGGTTAAAATAATTCCACGCATAATATCTGACTGCTCAACGATACAAGTCCACTCATTTCTCTTACCTGTTGCATGAAAAGAAACCCGGAGCAGTTCCACAACTGCAGGATTATCCACAGTCTATTTTTAATCTATGAGACCATAATAATTGAGATGTATTTCAGCATATTTACCCTTATGTTATCATCTGTTTCCATAGCAGCCTGAAGTTTTCCATTCACACTGAATACACAGAAAACGCCATTTTCATAGTATACGACACAGTGGCCTTCTCTTGAAGCCTGTATAAGTTTCGGTCTCAAGGAATTTTCAGGACCTTCTAATGTCCTCAATAGGTCTCCATTCATAGAATGTATGAGACATGGTCCTTCTGTTAAAAAAGAATGAAAACTAGTGGTTACTTTCATATCAAATTAAACCGAAGACATGAAAGAACAATTAGTAAGCAATGGCTTTTACTATCTTCTTAAGAACTTAAGGGTATTACCATGATATATTAGATACCAATAAATTGAAACAAAATCTCCTGCAAAGCCTAGAGTTACCGAAAAGTAATAAAGGGATCACCTATGACTAGTCTCTCTTGAGGTTAGATTTTTAAAGATGCACACATGTGCAGGTATCCAATTACAACATTTTGTAAAAAATCCTGATATGCATTCACAGATCAAATGTCCACATAAACTTCTGTGCTTAATCGTATAGCCATATATTTGTGTACTTACTTGTGTATATGTATTTAATTGATAACAAATACAGACAACACTTGACTTTTATCATGTCAAGTATTTACATGCACAAGTTAAGTGTTTGAACTTTTGAAAGCCCAACTGAAAATATTGTCCATAATCTAAGGACAGATGAATAGTTAAAGGTTAGTCAGGGGCAATTTATTATAAGTCAACATGATTTACTACAAGCAGCATGGTAGCAAGCGAGTTTCTACGAAGGACTTAAAGATGTCAGAGCTGGGATTTCATAGATGAGCTCAGTGAGAATGAACACAATGACCATAAATTTTAGTTGAATATGCAAATATATCTTCGATCAAAACACCAAAACTCCTTATCTCCTAAGACAATCGTTGCTGTACCTCCTGGGAAGTTATCCATAATAAAAACAAACCCCACATAATTACACTGCATTCTTGAGAGTCTCTGCAGACAGGCCAGGAATTCAACAGAGTGAGCTATTTTGTTAAAACTATATATAAACAAACAAAAATAAAAAAGTAACAGGGGAAATCTGCAAAGTTGTTGACCATTGTGTATTCTTATAAATACTAAACTGGCCTCTAGTTTTAGAAAACTTAGGGATTTCTTTAAGCACATTTCTAATGTGTTTAAAAAATCCTGCGTCAATTAAAATAACCACATTGTTTAACATGAAGGGGATGTACCTAGATTTATCTCCATCTACCTAGACTGCATTTATTTTCTCAATTAAAGCAAAACTTCAGGAATAAGAGGGAAAGTAAAATTTTTGAAAAGATAACAGCAAACTTTACCTTTGGAACCACTTATTACCAAGCCAAGTTCAGCACAAACTGTAGCACAAGTGATCTCATAGTCGTGTCCTGTCAAGATGGCTCGGGGAGTGGCAAAATCACCTTCAGTGAAAACAAGAATGAAAAGGATCTTTGGTTATGATTAGTTTCTCAAATCAACATTTTCAGTAAGTAAATGAAACATTTAATTTTCCCCTGCTTCTTGATTAAACACTTTCCAGAGCATTTCTGTATTAGATTAGCAGATTACAAGTTTCATGCTCCTGATTCAAAATACACTCACAAAGCAACAAACAACTTTCAGAAGTTCAGTTTGCTCACTTATTAATGATGATATACATAATCCAACACTATATAACTCAGACACCAAATAGTTTGAGTGCATAGATCTCCCTCTGTCTTATCTGAGAAAGATTAGCAGGTCAATCAGGCTAGGGACAGAAATTACACAAAAACTGGTGTAAGTGATTGGAAACTGGTCCAATTCTGTAACACAACAGAAGTTCAGTGCACATAAACTGCTTTCAAAAGAACCGAAACCGGTTTAAGGTAAACCTGGATGGATGTAATATCAGACTTACCTGATTTAGGTTAAATTGGTGTACTAAACTTCTGTCCCAGACCTCCTCAAGTTAACTCACAGTCCCCCAGCATCCCAGGATGCTTTGCACCTCCCCTGCAACACCCCCCCCCCCCCCCGCAGGGTGGGCAGACTAGCTTTGGCCCAAGCTGTCTGATGCAGCCAAGCATACTCGACCACCCTCTGGCTTTTGGCCTGGTCCACTACAGGCATGTGGCTACATTTCCAGAATCAAAAGTGAATGTCTGTTCACTTACTTATTTGTTCAATCTAGTTTACAGCTTAGAGTAACCTGCAAAGATTAAACTGATTCAGCCTCAGGCTTTTGATTCTTTGTACTTAGCCCTGTTTTATAAAGAAGTGTAGATACCGTTACAGTAACCAACAACAAAGGGAGGAAATTACTATGTCAGGACAAAGGAAGGCGTCCACTGATTGGTTTCATTTTAAGCAATACCTGGACCATCAACTATGAGGCTTAAATAAGCTCCTCATAAGAAACAGTGCAAAATTTAGCTGGGATGTAAGTACATACTCAACTGAAAAACCTAAAACAAATCAGTGTTGGCTCTATGAGGCAGTTAGCCATATGCTTTCCTGAGTCTTTAGAGTCCAGTACCTAGAAATGCTGGAAATAGAGGAAAACTGCAGACCAGACATGTTTTTATGAACTGCTGAACAGGTTAGACTTATATATTTTCTCAAGACAAATATGAGCATCGGTTTTATTCTCAAATCCAGACATAGAAAATGTGAGAATATGCTATGAAGCTCCTTAAAATGCTTCATACCTTATCTCAGGGCTTTTCACTCTCTTAGTTCTCCCAGAATGCCAGCATTCCATAGAAAGCACAATGTTGTTTTTGCAATTGCTGTCTAATTATTTCAATTGGAAGCCTTTATGAATCATTAAAATCATTAAAGTTCTAAGGAATGCATCTTTGGTGAGGTTATCAACTTTCCCCTTTTTTGCAGCAGGAAATGCTCTCACTCCAAACTAAATGACATGGTTGCTTCTGTGGGATGCCATGAAAAATGGTGATAAAATCAAATGCTGTTATTTTTCTTTTTTAAAATAGAGAGTGGATTTCCAATGAGACTGAAAGAAATAGTGCCAAGTGATTCCAGTACGGGAAAAGCATCTCATTTGTTATTCAACTGCCATATTTCAAGGTAGACTTAAGTTTGAAATTTTTAAAACTGAAATAGAATTAGCACAGTCTGATTAACAAGTCTATCTGGGTCTTGTACCATGCTCACCAAAGTAGTATCAGGTGTCTCATTAGAAAGTATGCAGACTGCTAAACTAGCAAAGTACCCAGACCCTTTCCATGTACAACAAGAGTTTCTAATGCATAGGAAACGCAGGAAAATCTGTGTAAATTAGAAACATGTTATTTACTCTCGATCTATGCTTTAACTCTGACCATTTACAACAATTCCCAGACTATGTAGCTGTTGCATACAAACAGTCTTTTAAAAAAGGTCATACTCATAATCTATGATCCAGTGTTAAACTGGGGATTATAACCTTCCAAATTTTATTTTTTTCTGCATTACTGCTGCAATACAAATTTAATTTTATTATAAAAAACAAATTTGAAAATTAAAGGTAACAAATCAGGAAAATATGAGTGTTTGTTTAAAAAAACCTACTAAAATAATATCTAGCAGCAACTCAGTAAATGGTCCCTAATCTCTAAATAAAGAACCATTAAATGATATAGCTTTTGTTTCATATGAAGTTTGGCAAAATGCACTCAAATCCAGGAAGTATGGCAGACAGTTCAGAAGAAAAAAAGAAAAACAAATTAAAAGCATAAGGTTAGACTTATGATCATTAGGTACTTCTCAGGTGACTGATTTCACAAACACTCACTAGACATTTAGAGAAATTTTGCTCTGTTGAACTTTCCTCACCTAAATGCAGAACAGGCAACTTTGAAAGCGAGTAAAACAACACTGTGGGGACAAACCATGAAGTTGCACAATTTGATTGCAAACAATTTTATATATTATAATAGTCACTTTAAAATCTACTGCAGCAGACTTATTACTCGGTATTAGGTTCTATATTGTTAATTCAGTGTTTTCTCTGATGTTCTCCACACCATACAGTATGAGGCAGCTCCGTGCTTTAAATATTGTTTTGTTCTGTTTTAATTGAGATGCTAATGTTAGCAAGTCTGGTTTTATTATTTAGCTTGGTGTTCAGAATTTGTATTTGACATAAAACTACATAAATCAGTGAGGAATTAGTCCATCTAACATATTCATTACATATTTTAATAAAACAGAATGGCTTAAAACCTGAAATCATGAGAATGAAATGTACACCACTGACTTGAAGTTAATTAGTATAAGTTGACTGAGTTTAACGCGACATTTAAGAAATTACTTTAAATGCAGTTATTAGGAGACAGAGGCAAAGCCACAAGTGCACAAGATGTTTACATTAAGCACTTATTTAAGTCATTGGGTTGCTATTCCTAAAGATTTGATTTATTTAAGGCATTTCCTCAGTAGTTTGCAACATATTCTCAAGACAGAAGGCCTTTCCTCCAGCAGAACATGGATTGCGATTACCTGTTTTCCAGTATATACTATAAGATTTCTGTTAATTTCAAAATTCAGATGCACCATATGAACTAAACTATAAATTCATGGTTAGCTAGAATATATGCAACCTCAAATAAATTCAGTCATCTATTATTAATTTTTCTTAGCATTCATTTCTTCAACGAAAAAAATAGATAACGGCAACATGAAAAGCAGCTCCTAAAGAAGTCTAAATATATGCTGCTTCTCTGAGTGAAGAGTCTAAAATAAATACTGTAACACGTGAGCCCCAAGAAAAGTCAGGCTGGGTCCTTTGATGAGAATGTTAAGTATTTAGGGGCTTCCAAAGCTCTGATTTTCCAAATAATAGGGTCAGCTTAAAAGCTGAGTATAGACCAGAACAGATTTCTTTAAAAGCTTTTAAACTTGCTGCTTCAGAAGATTGTCATGGTTTTCAATAAAGCAAAGAGAAAATTTTATTTTGTCACTGGTTTAAGGGGCACCACTTCAAACTTTTCTAAATTGTTTTAGGGGAACCGGCTTCTAGACCCCTTTGAAAAGCTGGGGAAGTAACTTCAAAGGAAAGAGAGTCTTTGTCCCTTAAGCAGGTTTACGACCACTGATGCAAACCCTAACTAAGGACTGAAAAGAATATCCAGTGCATCTTTATGGCGATTCTTAAGGAAGATGAACAAGTCAAATGAGATTAAAGATAGCCCAAATCCTCGCACTAACAACCAAGAAGCACAGTTTTACAGATGTGCTTTTCTCAGCATAATATATAATATGGTAATATCCTTAAACTATGCCACTCCTGGATAGCTACTTAAAATCAGTAAGTATAAGAATCTTGTTGCCTTATACACATCATAACAAAATTAGCCAAAAATATAGTTCTTAGGATTTACTACATAGAGAAGCTTTCCCCCCCACCCCGACTTTAGGCAAGATGTTTTACCTTTACAGTAACCATTCCACTTATTTCAAAGACCTCTCTAGAATGACGATAAACACTTGCTGCAAAACTGTTTTCCCATAGAAATTTACATAAAATATCACTCGTGCTTAAGTGACTAAGACACATTTTAAATCATAAACTCAAACTTAGAAGATAAAAGAGAAGCATATGATATCATGTGTGCAGCAGTATTTCACTGAAAAAAAGCTAGATGCTTGGAAACTGCATTTAAAAAGGAACAGTGGGATTATAACAAAGTCAAAACTTTCTTCCAGGTTTACAACATCCAGAAGTTACTCCTTCCTGGCTAACAAATAACTGTTTAGTGTTGCTGGGGTTTCCTCCTCCTAGCTTTCAAGCTTTAGTATTGTTAAAAAACAAAACAAAATCATGACAACTTTAAGCCAGTAGTGAACTCCTTATACAACTGTTTTTTATGTTACAGTGATTAACTTAAAAAAGAGCAAACAGTATTTTTTTAACAGATCTAAACAGGACTGAATATACAACTTAAAACTGCCATCTTGCTTTAATGCAAGATACCCTTTTCTAAAACTAGTTCTTGACGCAAAAACATTCAGCAATGTGTCTGCTTCTTTTATACTTTATGCTGAGAAGGCAGTTAATTATGATAAGTCACTGACAGCTCAACAGTAATTCTCAAGTTATCATTCCATGATTATACAGGCTGTAGAGTCCTTTTTAGTGCAAATTAATTATACAATTTTATGCCTTAATATAAAATTCTAATCAAATGAAACATCAATTAACCCATCTTTTTGCCTACTGCTTGCTAAAAATAACTGACAGTGTATTTTTTCACAATGATAAGTTAAAACAAACAAAATCATGCATATTAATAGTATTTAAGAAAAATAACTTTTTATCAATTTCCCTTTAAAATTACTGTATTTAATGCAAAGTCTAAAATAAGATCACATAATTAAGATTCAGATAATAAAATCTAAAAACTATGAATCAAAATAATGTCATCAACAGAAATAA